CCCCCCATTCCCTCACTCACTCTGTGCCTGTGCTTTGCCCGGCCTGACAGCGATGTGCTGCAACATTCCCTCTCTAAGGTGTTCTTCAAAGCTGGGCTGCTGGGGCTCCTGGAGGAGATGAGGGATGAGAAGCTGGCACAGCTCATCACCCGCACACAGGCCGTGTGCAGGGGTTACCTGATGAGGGTGGAGTACCGGAGAATGGTGGAGAGAAGGTACACATTCCTCGTCTTCAGTTAAACTCACTGTGGTTGGGGGAAAGTGTTGACACTTTTCAAACTGAAAATATTCATTGTACATGTGAATTATGCTCCAGAGAGTCCATCTTCTGCATCCAGTACAACGTTCGTGCATTCATGAACGTCAAACACTGGCCCTGGATGAAGCTGTTCTTCAAGATCAAGCCCTTGCTGAAGAGTGCAGAGTCTGAGAAGGAGATGGCCAACATGAAGGGAGAGTTTGAGAAAACCAAGGAAGAGCTTGCAAAGTCTGAGGCAAAGCGGAAGGAGCTGGAGGAGAAAATGGCTTCTCTAATGCAAGAAAAAAATGATCTGCAGCTCCAAGTGCAATCTGTAAGTATTATTTATGTTTCTTCCAGGTATTCTCAGAGTACATAACTCTCATGCTACACAATAAATTTTCTTAGAAAATATTTTAATATGAATCACTAAAGGTAAAATTCAAACCACTCAGTGTCAACATTATAATATGATGTTCCAGCTTGGGAAGGACTTTTGAAGCATGGTAAGCCCATAAGTCTGTTTCTCCATAAAAGCTCACAATATAAGGTCCAACTGTAATCACTGGAGATTTAGTATATACAGTTAACAGAGTCTGTAGAGCAATTCTCTGACAACTTTGGTTTCAATCAGTTGCCCAAATATGCTTTATGTCATTTCTTACGATACATGTAATGTCACCTGTCTTTCTGCAACCACTATTCCAGGAAGACACAAACCCCCCCCCGGCATTCTGGCAGGCCTATGTGTGCCTCCAATTTCCATTGGAAGATCAAATGCTGTGACTCTTGGGGATGGTCCTGTGCAGGCCTAGAGGTTGGACTTGATGGTCCTTGTGGGTCCCTTCCAACTCGGCTCATTCTGTGATTCTGTCATCAAAAGATTGGGCAATATTTAAACATTATTCTTGTGTCTTCACAGATTCAAAAAAAAGTCAGATTCAAATTGAAACTATGAATTGCATCTAGACAATATATCAATTTATCTGGCACAAAAAAATTATTCAAAGTCAGTATTGCCAAAGAAGGATTTTAGGGAGATTAAAAAAAAACAACCCCCAAATCTGTACGCAATTATACTCAGTTCTCAATTTCCAGAGAAAGTAATCAAATCTCTTAGGAAAAAGTAATACTAGAAACTATCATCTTATCTTTGACAACAGCAAGAGAGAATAATTAATGAAAGCAAAAAAAATAATCAGAATAAAAACGTACTCTGATACCGTGTAAAAAAAGAGTAATTCCATGTTTCTTTTCCTCTACTGGACACACCAAACTGCAAATACCTGAGACTCGCAAATGAAACTATGTTTCCCTAATAGGAAGCTGATGCTCTGGCTGATGCTGAGGAAAGGTGTGACCAACTCATCAAAACCAAAATCCAGCTGGAAGCCAAAATTAAAGAGGTGACTGAAAGAGCTGAGGATGAGGAGGAAATCAATGCTGAGCTGACAGCCAAGAAGAGAAAACTGGAGGATGAATGTTCAGAGCTGAAGAAAGATATTGATGACCTTGAGCTAACACTGGCCAAGGTGGAGAAGGAAAAACACGCCACTGAAAACAAGGTATGAGGCAGAAAATCTCACCCACACTCCAGAAAAGAGCCCCGTGCTCTTCCAGGACTTCTGTATCTACTTCCTTGATTTACACTCGCTCCCTTCTTCCTAAAGGTGAAAAACCTCACAGAGGAGATGGCAGCCCT